TTTGTGAAACTTAGGGGGGAAAGCAGCACAACTGAAACAGCACAATTGTTTCCAAGAACATTCATTTCAAATCCACATACAATATTTCATTCATGCTTAATTATTTCCCCAATGCTAGTCTAAGCGTTACTAGTTTCCTTTGTCTTTTTGCTTTTGCATGCAGCATGATTAGCAAAACTGCTTGTGCTCTACCAACTCCTGCACATATGGGGTTTAGCCTCATTGTTCAAGGGGTGGAGCAACAAGCAATATGAACACTCATGCTGCCAAATTTGGCACACGTGAGCCCTCCAAAGTATACAGATATCACCCGTTTCATTTAAATCCCTGTCTATATTTTGCATTGCTACCATAATGGCAACTCCATTGTCTGGGTGTATTATTTGAAGCAGCTTTTCTCCCATTGTTTGTGCACTGTAATCCTTGAGGTTTCTGTAGTCATCATGAGCAGCTTACGTGAAAGAAATCACTTAGCTCGCTCAGATCACTCTCTCTGAACCTGCTGGCAAAGGAGCAGGCCACAGCTAAAGCATGAGACCTGTGATCTTCCTGAAGAAAATCTCTTCAGTAGATTTTATAATTTCTTGCTTTTACTGAGTTCTGTTCTGGGGTGTGGACTCAGGGTTCTCTTTCAACCACTGTGGGTTTTTCTATGATGCATGGTGGGAATATAGGCTGGGAAAAAAGAGTAATAGTGCTTGCTATGGAGGTGTAACATAACAGCATGTTACACACATTTCAAATATTAGCAGAGACACAGCTGCTGTTTGACAGGAATTAAGGACAGTTGTTTATTCTGACAGCAGCAAAATCTTGGCCTTTTATCCTTCCATGCTATAGCTGGATTGGCACATCCTGCTGTGATTCTTTCCAACAGACTTTTGAGAAATTAATGCTTGTCAGCTTAGGGCAGAATGAAGAATCCCCTGGAACTTATCATAGAAAAAGGGCTGCCCAGTTCTTTCCCTTTCTAGCATTCAGTCATCTGCTTGGGCAGTGCCCTCCACTCCAGTAGAGGCACTACTTTTGTGATTATGTATCTGCACACTGTTGTAGGCAAAGTCATTTGCCATTAGCTGTTCTGTGTAAATTATGCCCATTACTGGGTTTGAATGCACATCACTTTACTCCTGACACAGTCATTTGTAACATTTTTTAAGGCCATGGTTCCAAAAATGAGGGCTGCAGAAAGCCAGCAAAGGCCCCCTTCATAGTTTGCAAAGAGTTTCCAGTTCTTTTTGTTTCCAAATTCTACATCATGTTATAGAAAAACTATAAATATGGTATAAACATTGCTCTTCATTTGGCTTAGCTCTTCAGAGATCCCTGTTGCAGCCACATAGGCATTAGGTGATCCAGATGGTGACACCTTTGTGGATGCTGAGAGGTGACCCAGGCGACAATATTAAAATATTAACTATGTAAGTCTGAAAATCTCATTGTAGCACATTTGAATATTTGCAGTGACTTACGGAAGCTTCGAATCTGGCCCATCACGGTAGATGGGATCACCTTTTTCATCTTTTTGCCTCCAACTTAGCATATGATAAAAAATCAAGCACTGCAATCTGTACAAGCTTGCCTCTTCCACCCCGCTCCCTGTCTGACTGTGAGCTCCCCTCCTGCCTGCCACATTGTCAGAACTCAGACCCAGAAATGCTGGAGAGAATTGTTCTGTATGTTGGGGGCCAGAATTACATGTAGCTGAACATTTACTATTTTCAGACAAGCACCAGTACACATTATGGTACACGTTTCTCACACCACTGAATAGTACCAAGCATGGAAATGTATCACTGATGTTGTTCCAGACACCTTCAAATGTCATCCATCCTTGATACTATAATGCTTTGTTCCTTAACTGAATTTACAACAGACATTTTAAATCTGATTTTGACATTTGTCTACTTTATGTATGCCCTTTAATTAGAGGTTTGAAGAAACCTCAGATGCACTTTTCTTAGATACATTCTGCAAAAGAGTGGAAAGCTTGCAGGTATTTTGTGTAGCTATTTTTTTAGCCAGGATTTTATTTCCACTTCAGTGTTCATATATGCTGTAACATATAAACATGTAAGCTAATTTTCAGGACACAGAATGGCTGTAGCTTTTTTTTCTGAAAAGGTCACAAAATGACTACTCTGTACCAGTAAACACAATTAGTGAATTAGGCTGCTGAGGAAGTAAAAAACCAGAATAAATGACTGCTGTAAAAGAGCCTAAAGAAGAAGGAGATAGGTTATACCATTTGCAGGTAAGGTTATGCCTTAAGTACCTTTAACAGCTTACTTGGATAGCTCTAGCTAGCAATGTGTGCTCTATTCCAAAGCACCAGCCTATATTTCTGGATCATCTTTCAAGACTGAGATGATATAAGGCAATTAATAGTGTTTTGTGACCTTCTGCACCAGTAGTCCATCTTTTTGGCATTGAAACTGATTTTGCCCAACTTGGCATTTTATCACCTAGGACTGCACGGGGAGATCAGAGAGGCACCTTTTACAGCAGCAGTGGAATGATTTAGTTCAGTCAAACTGTTCTTCAAATTCACGGTTTCCTACAAGCTGATGAGGCAAACCTCTTCTTTGCTTAATGTCACATAAGGTACATTGAAAGGCTGTGAAGAGGCAGATGTTCTATAGCTTCACTTCATATGCAAAAACCTGTTATATTCTTTATTTGCATTCAATTAGAAGTCAGACCCTGATGAATATCTAATGTAGGAAATGGGGAAAAGATTTGCCATCAAGCATATGCTTTGCTTGTAGTGGGTCTCAGTAACCTGCTATTGTGTCTTCCTGAAGTGATTGGGTCATTTCTGCTGCATTATTTACACCTTCAAGCTCAGAGGTGAAGAGTGTTAATAGGTGACAATTAGAGTTATGTTCCTGCTTTTAGATATGTTGCCTTTTCTCATTTCTTTTAAACAGCCATTCTACAGTTGCAAAATTTCCCTTACTAAGTGGCTCTGTTTTAAGGATTTAAATGCTGCAGCCTTACTTTCGTATTCATTTTCTTTTTTGATACAGTTGTGCCTTGTTTGATCTTGTGAAGGCTCCCCATTTTCCTGGCAATCCAGGGTATAATATAAGGAAACTCAGAAGTTACAAAACTGTTGTGTTGTCAGGAAGGAAAACGTTCAAATTATCACTATAATATGAAGCAGACACTTCCAGAACAGCTGCTGTTATGACACTTGTGAGAGCTGTGACACTGTAAGAGCACACATACCAGGGCATTACAGCACCAAGGGAGAGATGGAGCTTGTCTGGAGCCCTGGACATCAGAAAGATATAAGCAAAACAGCTTTTCATCACTGCAGCAGAGGGTTTCCCAGATTTCTGGGGGAAATGAGAGAAATCTCATACCCTTCTGAACTCAGATGTGATCAGAAACCTGCTTTGTTACAGCTTCCATTCCTTTCTTCCCTGTGGACCACTCTCACGGCATGTTCTGGAGAACATATGACATTTCTTCCTTTTCCCGCTTTTCTCCTTGCTTTGATCTAAGACTGTAAATTAAACCATCCTCGCCCATATCCAAGCAATGCATCGATACAAAGAGAAACCTCAGGGGTATTTCTAGGTGCTTTGCAAACTTAGGCAAATGGATCAATATTACTTAATGCATGCCCCAAGTTTGGAATGGCTTTTGTCCTGCCATTGTGATTAAAAAAACCCAACAAAACACTAAAGATTTTAAGAAAACAAAAAGTGTAACTAAGTGAAGCAATGAAACTAAATCTGTCACGTACAGTTGCCTAATCCCCCTGGTTTCTCTGTGAATCTCTAGCACAGAAGAAAATTTAGAGAAACAGCTTCTTTCTGTCCAACAAGATTAAGTGCCTCATCATAAAAAAAGAATCTGTCATGGTTTCCTGTGAAAGTAATAGGTATGTCAGATAATTGGATCAGGTGTTTCTGGCCAGTTCCTTTAGACTGAGTGTGCTGCTGATGGGCAATTTCTTGAGATGTTGAAAGGAGCAAGCTGAAAGCCAGAATGAATCATTGTTTTGGTAGCAACAGCCCATCTCCAGCTGAAATTCTTCATGGTGCCCCTTGGCCTCTCTCTTAGTATGTCAAAAGCTGTGAAAATGTGCAATGAATGCAGCACACTGAGGACAGGCTGAACAGGCCTGCAGCTATTTTGGGTTCTGCTGTATGTTAGGGCAGGACTTGACAAAAACCTGCCAAGTGGCTCATCAGACCAGAATGCCCCTGCACCATTGCTGTGGTTGATTTCTGATACCTGCCTTTGACACGTGACTCTTTTCGGGGGTGACAGGGAATGTCCTTTTTTCTCTTGGTTTTTAAAAGCGTGGAGTTCCTAGTAACCTGAAGAGGAAAAATATGTAAAACATCCTGATACAGGAAATTAAATAGTGAATCAGTGCTGATAAAAGGGATGGAGGAAGAGCAATGACGTCTAGTACTTCTAAGAGCCCAGCACACTGCAGTGAATACAGAATCACAGAATGGGTCAGGTTGAAAGGGACCTCAGGGGGTCATCTGGTCCAACTTCCCTGCCCAGGCAGTGTCATCCCAGAGCACATACACGGCACAGGATTGTGTCCAGACAGTTCTTGACTATCCCCAGTGAGGGAGACTCCACACCCTCTCTGGGCAATCACTTCCAGTGCTCAGTCACTGCACAGGAAAGAAGTTTTTTCTCATGTTCAGGTGGAACTTCCTGGGCATCAGTTCCTACCGTTGCCTCTTGTCCTATTGCTGGGCACCCCTGAGCAGAACCTGGTCCATCTTCTTGGCACCCCCTTTAGATATTTCTACATACTGATGAGGTCCCCTCTCAGATGTGTCTTCTCAAGACTGAACAGCCCAACTCCCTCAGCCTTTCCTCATAAGAGAGATGCTCCAGTCCCTTAATATACAGAGAATACAGTGAGGGATTGACAGGATCTGATTTGGAGCAGGACCACATTGAACTGCTCTCACTCCACCAGCTCCTGGAATTAAAAAGCACGTGAACACCTCTCTCAGGTACTAGTTACTTGTGAAGGGTGCGTGTTGAGGTGCATAAATACATTCTGGAACAAATGACAGAACCAAGGAGAATACACAGATGCCGGAGGCGCACGGAGCAGAGCTGTTGCTGCTGGCATTCGGAGGTGCAGGCTCTCCCAAGGACACAGGGGAGGAGGTGGGGGCTGTCCTGAGGTTGCAGGTGAGGAGATGCTCCCGAGGAGTGGGAAGCCGCCAGGTGGAGCCGCCGGGCAGCGCGTTCCCGTTGACTTCAACAGAGACCGAGTTTGTCTAAGAGCGTAGCATGATTTGCATATATCCTTACAGGATACACTTTGCATTGTTATCTTACATTTTCATTTTAGTAACTTTTATCATATTTAAAAAATAGACCTAATAAATACCTGCTGATGTAGCCCTAAAACCTGTGTTTATTTTTAACTGGAGTGGTGAAGTAATCATTCAGTTTTGGAACAAAGTGATAAAAATTCCCTCCTTTGCTGGTTGGCAAACTTCATTGCTTTTAATATTGCCCCTTGGAAGGCTGCTTACAGCTGGAATTTGGGGTGTTACTTTTTAAAATGTACGTGGCATTTAGGTTCTTTGTTCATTTTAGGAATTACATTTGCCTTTTACATCCAAATCGTAAAAATCAAGAGCACCAGTAGACCTGTAACATTTTGAGTTGTTACACAGAGAGTTATTTTATGTGATCGTATAAAGCATGGGGAGGTTAAGAAGTCCCCAGTGCAGCCACAGGAAAGGGACAGAAATTGTGAGCTGTATTTCTCCTTCGTTTCCTCATCCTGCTTTTTTGTCTTTTCAACGTGGAACAGAGGGGAGATGGGTTACCTTAAATCAGAAACAAAATCATAATGAAGGCTTAGTTTACAAAACCAAAACCCTCTGTTAATAACCCATTCTGGAGGAAATGGCAGCATTTTTAACATTAGGCAGTAATTTTTCCGGGATTGTACTGGTATTACAAACCAGTGTGATACTTCAGGAGCCATATGTGGCACAGCTGTTGTAACGCTTGTTTGATTACTCGTGGTGCTCTATCAGACTGGCACGCTGCACTTTACCAAGCTGGTGACTGAAACAAACCCGGGTGAAAACCACGCAAAAATATTCTGAGATTAAATTCTCAGAGCAGGGCTAGGGATGTCCTAACAGCTGCTCTCTTCCTCATCCTGTATGCCAGCTCAGCTGGGATCACGATGTGCTGTTCCACAAACAGGTTCCTAAAATCATTTAAACATAGAACAGTTTGGATTGGAAGGGGACTTTGAAGATCATCCCATTCCAATCCTCTGCCACGGGCAGGGACACCTTCCACTATCCCAGGTTGCTCCAAACCCCGTACAACCTGCCCTTGGACACTTCCAGGGATGGGGTGGCCACAGCTTCCCTGGGCACCGTGTGCCAGGGCCTCACCGCCCTCACAGGGAGGAATTTCTTCCTAATATCTAATCTAACCCTACTCTCTGTAAGTGTGAAGCCATTCCCCTTGTCCTGTCACTCTTGTAAATAGTCTCTCTCCATCTTTCCTGTAGGCTCCCTCCGGGCACGGAAAGGCCGCAATGAGGTCACCCCTAAGCCCTCACAGCAATCCCGATCCTCCCAGCCTTTCCTGGCGGGAGAGGCGGCTCCATCCCCCTGAGCACCTCGGCCTGTCCCCTGCCCTCGTGGCAGCGCCACACCCGGCACAGGGGCCGGGGAGCGTCCCCAGAGGTGCAGCCGGACCCGGGAGCGGGAGGAGGCGGCGGCTGCACAGCCCGGTGCCCGCGGAGCAGGCGCGGAGGGGCCGGGATTGCTTCCCGGGCCCGGCCGAGCCCAGGCGGTGCCAGCCCGGCCGAGCCCAGCGAGCCCAGACGGTGTGAGCCCGGCGCGGGCAGGGCCGGCGGCTGCGCTGCGGGGCCGCCCCTCCTCCGGCGCCGCCGCAGTGTCGTGACCGGCCGGGCCCGGAGCCGGGCGCTGCCGCGGAGGTAGGCGGGGGAAGGAGGATGGCAGGGAGGAGGAGGTGGAGGAGAGAAGGAGGGAAGGGCCGCGGCGGACGGAGCTGAGCCCGAGCGGGCCCCGCTGTGCCCGCTCCGCTCCCCGGGCAGTCCCGGCCCGGCCCGCGGGGTTCGCGTGTGCGGCCCCGGGGAGGGCCCGGAGACGCCGCCGGGGGCTGCGGGGCCGCGGGAGCCGCTCCAGCCCCTGGGGCCGTCCCTGGAGCCGGGGGCATCCTTTGGATACAGGGATTACACCCTTAGAGACGTTCAGGCCCCAGCGAACCCCCCTTTGCCTCAGGGAACCATCAGGGCCGGGAGGCGCCCAGCCCAGCCCGCCGGCCGCGGCAGGGCCGCCCGGAGCCGGTGACCAGGAACGCGCCCAGGTGGGTTCGGGTGGGGTTTGGAGGAACTCCGGTGCGGTTTGAGTGAACCCCTGATTCCTCTTCGCACCCCGCAAGTCACGTTTAGGCCGGAGTGTCTCTTCGAGCAATAGTAAACCTGGAACGGGGCGCTGTAGGAAAATAAATAAAAAGCTGGCTGAAGTGTAATTAAATTTCGTCTGTTTGAAAGGGCTCATAATTACATTTTATGCTCAGCCTATTTTAGTCATAACGTTTTTAATAAATTTTGAAACATTCAGAACACGTTGATTAATTTTAATGAGGTGAAGTTTTATGGTTTTTTTGCAGTGAGTCAGGGAAAACATCTTTAATTTTCAGGCTTAGTTTAGATTTTGAAGATACCACTGCACTGTGCTTCACTAAGAACCTCTACAGGGGAACAGCTCTGTTTTCTTAGCTCTCTTTTCTTTCTTAACTCTAAGTCTGATTGTTGGCTCCAGTATCAGCTAGCTGATGGAAGTGGCCTGGAACTTTGTTGAACACAGCCTTGAAAATGGAGAAACTGGCTAGGAAATGGAAAAAAAATCATTCTTAATTTATAAATTGGAAAGACATTGAGTATATCTGTAAAACTTCCGGGTGGGAAGGAATTATGGCCAGTCTTTCACAGATACTTTGTAATTCAGCAGACCAGGTGAACTGGATATCCTATGTGCCTAGACAGGTTAGATGCCAAATTTCCTTCTATATCAGTGGAATGACATAGTTCCCACTGAATATTTACCTGCATTTTTAGGCATCCGGGGGCCTTGTACAGTGATCTTCTGTGTTCCTAGAAGTAGTTTGTTCTAATCTAATGAGTAAATTTGTTGCCTCTTGTGTTAAATAAACCAATTAAATGCTTTGATAAATTTACATGCTTTGATAAATACACAGAAGTAAGCAATGCAGTTCTTACAAAACAATATTAAAATGCTCTTTTATGCATTTCAATTGAATTCAGATTGTCTAGCAAATACAAGAGTTTTTTACCCTCTCCTAATATAATTGAAACTAAAAAATCGAACATCTGAATAAATATATAGTCAGCAACATAATTATATTATTACAGTAAATATTTGTAGATTTAGTGAATCCTCGTGGTTGGGAAAGAAGAGTACTGAAAGCTGAGATAAGAATGGCAATCAGCATGTTTTAATCTTTACACCACTAAGGAGGAGTAAACCCTTCTTAGCAAAATAACCTAAAATCACAAATGCAGAGCAGTTTTAAAACTAGTGTATTTAAACCAAGTTTTACTGGCTGCCCATGCCAGACATGATTTAAATCAGACAGACCACCTGCTTTGTGGATTTCGGGTACTAGACCAGGCTCTAAAGGTAGGATTTTCAGAAAGTGATGATTTAGGAGCACGGGTGCTCCTCAAGCCGACGGTGTGTGTATGGACCAGTGATGAGACAGTCGTTCTTTGCAGATGGGAATATGTTGATCCCCTGTCTGTCCACCTGATTTTATTGAAATAGTTAGTGAACCTCTGGCCTGGTCAATCATCAGGTCACATCTCTGTGCACACTGTTGTTTGTGAAGTCGTGTTCTTGAGTCTGCCTCAGCTGCTGAGTACTTTGTTTTACAAGGTACTGGTTTTGCTCCAGTGCTGTTCTGATGTTCCTTATAAAAAGTTGCAGTATAGATAGAGCTGTTGCTGTACAACTGAGACAAGAAATTGTCCTGTGTGATCTCCTGGACACACGTGCTTGCATAAATGTTTGCTGAGCCCTTGAAGTGAACCAGTTTGAAGATCTACAGAGAGCAAGCACTTGTATGCTTTCTAGCACTTGTGTGGAGATTCTCACCTCACATCCTTGCTTATCACCAAATGGTGTCCACCACGATGAAGATAGCTCCAGGTAAGGGGACTTAGATCTATGTCCTCTTTGCCTGGTAGGTTTGGAATTTGGGGTTTTTTGTGCTGTGCACATTGCAGAGATGTTTACTGAAGAGTTTTCTCAGTTAACTCAGTAAGAGTCTGTAAGGAGCAGTGAGCACAGCTGGGTGGTGGGCCAGGCTGTGTTAGAATATCTGGTTAGAATATCTTCTGTGGGGACATTTGGGAAGGTGTTCATTTGGGAAGGACAGTGAACCCAAGGGTTAAAAGTGCTTTTGCTTGTCAAAGTCATCACTCTGTGAAGGGCGAAGTAGGATGATGAGATGGGAGTGTAAAATTGGGAAGAGCTGAAATGAGGTTCACACCACAGGGTAATCTGAGGGCCCTCTTTAATTTTTTGCATTAGCAGGACTTTGAGTGAATTGGGTACAATGCTGTTATTTTAATTCTTCATATGGCATTTCTCTTCTTAGGAAAACCTGTTGGTTGTATGTTCAAAGTTGAGATACAAACACATGATGTTACCATTCCCTTTGAATAGGGAGAGCAGGATCATTGCTCACTTTGATCCCCTATCCTTGACGTGAAAGAGAGAGCATCGTCTAATTTAGAGAAAAGTAGAGAGTCTGATATCTCAGATGAGTATTTGGGGGAGACCACAAATGTAAAAGGAATGCAGTAGAACAACAAAGGAAGGTCAGTTAAACAACAAATCGTGGTTTCTCAATGGCTTCGTGTTCCAAAACTCTTGGGTTTGGTTTTGTTTTTTTCTCGAAGTGCTGAAGATTCCCAGTGCCATGTGAAGTCAGTTAGGAGCTGGAGGGACCTCTTGACAGCTCTGAAAGCTGGGCACAGTCTTAAGGATGTTGTTGACATTTCTGTTTCTCCATTAGAGCAAATCCAGTATTTCACAATCCTGGTGTTTCTTAACATCTGTTGAATTCTGTAGGGAATAATTTGGTAATAGGATCAAATTGCACTTTTGTTTTCTTGTCAGTTACACAGTCAGAGTCTATAAATATTTTTGGCTATCATCTGATTCTACCTCTGACACACAAAACTTACAGCTCTTTTTGTTCTATTCTGTCTGTTATTGTATTGTGAAAATAATCCTGCTTTGATGGCCTGCAGTGTATGATTAAAAAAGTACTGCTCACTGAAAATTGCCTGATTGAGCACCTTGATTCTTCATTGGAACCCGAAATTTTCCAAGAAATTCTTACTGGTATGACTTTGTAAAACATCTCTACGATGTTGATCCACTCATCTGTGTCTTTGTGCTGAATGTAGGAATCTGGGATTACTTTACATGTTGTAATACGTGGTTTATGTTTCAGTGGCTCCCACTAGTGCTCTGTATGTACAGTTTAAAAAAGACAACTTGTATGTGCTGTGCATCAGCTATTTATTCACTAATGTTCACTGCAGGATTTAAAATACAGTGAATATGCTAAGAGATCATAGAAATACTTGTAAGAGTTCAGAGAAATGAATGCTCCTTGTAATGTCTGAGAGTTTTGAGTGTTATGCTCGCTCACATTCAGAATTAAGCAGGAACAGCTTTTCTGTGTCAAGAACTTTATTCAGTCAAGCCGAAAAACCCCAAATAAGTGTTGATTTTACGAGTGGAAATTTCCTTCAGGGAAGTGTTTTCTTCTTGAGAGGAGTAAAACTGTAAAGTAATTCACTATGGAAAGACTGCTTATAGTTACTTGCATTCCAGCATGTTTCTGCTTTACCTGATAAGCAGGTATGAATTCGTGTGTTTGCCATGCTCTGTACACCACCAGATAGCAGTGTGACTTCTATTTTTATTACAGTCTGGGTTTTTTCACCTTTAGGCCAATTGCACTGTGAAGCTGGTCACGAAAGGGTGTTTTATTTATTCAGGGGAACCCCAGGGTAGAGCTGATCACCTTTGCACTGCTTGCAATGCCACGTCATTGTGAGGACACGTCCTGGTGTCGGCTGTGTGGAGGATGGAGCAATGCGGGTGGTTTTCTGTGGGCAGGCAGCTTCGGCCTGCTGCAGGAGCCTGGGGCTTCAGCTTTTGGTGTCTCTGCTCACAAAACATCATTTCACATCTATTACAGTGAGAGTGGTTTAGGAAATTGTGGAATTCCGTTGGTTTTACTGGGGGAAAGCAGGTAACACTCTCAGTGAGAGCCGTGTGTATTGTCAGCTCTCCCAACACGTGTTGTCCCGCCCGTGCTGCAGAGCCTTCATGCTGTAGAGCTTCATGTGAGACATTTGTTGGGTTTAGCCCAAAGAGAAGATGCAAATTCATTTCAGCACATTGGATTAGTCCTAAGGCGTGCTAAGGAGGTGCAGGACAAGCACGATTCACCTTCTGTCTCCCTGAGGGGAGGAAGTGAATCCTGCAGCACTTAAGGCTGCCTGGTGCTGGTGAGGAGGTTACTCCTGAGTGGCAAACTGCTCACCCTTTGCTAGGAGGGTAAAGGCAAACACTTTATCATCTCATTTTCCATCATTCCCAGGCTTGGCAGTGTGAGCTGTACCAGCTGTATATTTGGGTTGTTGGGGGTTTTTTTCCCTATTTTAGGTCAGACAGAGCAGCCATTTGTTTATTACTCTGAGCTTGAATCCCATGGAATGAGATGATGTGTAACTCCGGAAGCAGAGCGTGTCGCTCTGCTGTCTCTAACCAGCACACACTGCCATGCTGTTCCACTGCTGTGTCATCGGCCTGCCAAAAACCCAAAAGCAGCAGTGGTAAAATGATGACACTAGGATGTTTTCTTTAGACTGGCATGAAGATGAATGAAGTAGTGAGAGAAATCAACTATTTGATGAATTTCCTACTGTGCCTCTTTGCTGCTGTGGAGTATAAGCAGTCCCTTCCCAAAACCCAGACTTTTGTTTAGTGTCAGCAGTGCTTGGATACTGCAGGGACGTGGATGATTTGCAGTCAGCCATTTTACTGCAAAAGAAAGCTTCTGCTGCCACAGTAGTTAATTTTTAATATGAAAAATGGTGTGATACCACTCCACTTTCACTTTGCACTGAGATCTATTCAAGAAAGACTTGAAGACAGGTGGGTGTGGGCTGAGAATGTATTGCACATGCTCTGGGATAAGAATGTTCTAGGGGCTGAAAATCAAACGCTCATCTGTTCTATAGTGCTGATATTACATGTACAACAAGAAATCTGCTGCTTGTGTATATGTGATTGTATTTTTAATTCTATCGAATACTTTTTTTTTTTATCCCTGCAAGCCCTTTCCTCATTTGGTGTGTAGGATGGGAGGTATTTGCTAAATGAGCAGCAGCAGCAGCAAGTGAATGGGGTGGAAAAGTTTTGGTCTCAGAGGGCTCATTCTCAGGGACAGGTCTCTGCCCTCTGTTGAGGACATGTCAGAGTGTGTAACAGGTCCTGTGTCTCTGCCTCCTCTTAGGTGAGAGTTGTCTGGTGTGTGGGCTCTGAGTCCTGGCTGCTGTAGCATACACCCCTGCATTTCTGATGGGCTGTCTCCAGAGCATTTATTCCCAGTCCCAGCTCTTTCCTCTGACTCCTTCTGTAATCTATTCCCTTCTTCAGCTCTTTGGTTGTTACAGAGAGCCTTCCACCTTCAGAAATCAGCATGGAAGCATTTAAGCCTGTAACAAAACAGGGAGAAGAACTGGTATGTAAAAATAACCAGCTGATTTGTAGCAAGAATTAGGACAGGGAGAAAATACCTGACTGATTTGTCATTTACAGTCTGCTGGTTGTGGTAGAGTGAGGCTCTGCTTTGTCTTTTTCCCAGAGTTGCATGTGATGCTGAACACACGTGAGAATTGCTCAAGGCAAAAGCCATATACTGTAGAACTACATAGCATAGAATCACTGAATTTCTCAGCTCAGCTGGTTAGAGCATGGTGCTAGTAACACCCTAGGTTGTGAGTTCCATCCCTGTATGGGCCATTCACTTGAGAGCTGGACTTGATGATCCTCGTTGGGTCCCTTTCAACTCAGAATATTCTGTGACGTTTCTGGGAAAGCCAGTTTTTTCTGGTCTCCTCTGAGGATTCATTTACAGTTCAGTTATCTGAAGTAGAGTTAGTTTTCCCAGAACCGAAAGAGAAAGCAGTTTTGCACACGGTGTTTTCTGTGTGTCTGTCCTTTTTGTCTTACAGACTCATGAACACTGATTTTATTCCTAAAATTCGTTTAGCAGCCAGATTTAATCTCTGTTGCAGTGATCAGAAGATAACTTACAGTGTTCTTTCCAGGATCTTAACTCGCCAAGATGCCCATCCCTGTTGATGATGTGATGCAGCTGCTCTGCCACGTGTCTGAGGCGAGGGGGATGAAAGCTGCTGTCAAGCACTCCGGTCGGGGAGCACTCTTGGCAGGTGCCACAGCCTTTCTTGGGGGTCTGATGGGAGGTCCCCCTGGAATCGCTGTAGGTAAGTGTGTTTTACTTTGGGAACAAGAGGGTGGTTAAATCCCTGAGCAGAGAAACTAGGCAGTCTGTGTAGTAGGTGTAGGTTGAAGGAAAGGGGCATTCAGTGTTGGGATTTCGTGCCTCAGTGGGGAGTGAAGAGGAGAGGAGTGAGGCAGGGGGAAGGAGCACAGATGGCAGCAGTAGGGGAGATGTTGGTAGCTGGTGGCACAGAAGAAAGAAAACTGGGGTGTAGAGTGAGGTGAGTAAGCATTCTTAGCCTTAGCATGGGACAGGATCATCTTCCGAATGATCTTTTTAAAAATTATGTTTATTTCTTTATTTTAAAAGTTCCTGCAATTAATTTCTTGATGAACTTTTTGTCCTCTGGGATTCATTATTCCCTGTCACTTTGGTTTTTTTCCTGGTATGCAAAATTACAGGAAAACCGAAGTCTAATAGTAAAGAGCTGTCTCTCCTCTGTAACTCTTGAATTAAGAGTTGTCTAGTTTAAAAGCTGCCTTGTCAGTGAAGTCCTGTCAGCTCTGGTCCTTGAATGCTCCTTACTCCTGCAAGCAATTCCAGCAATTTCACGGGCCTATTGGTATTGGAGTGAATTGCAATATTCCTGTGTGAGGGTTAGCAAGGTTGAGTTACAAAAAAATAAGGAAATTGTATGTGAGAAGTGATAACAGAAAATGCAAAGTGAAGCTATGTGCTTACTCCTATTACAAGTACAAAGCTTAATTAATAGCCAAAATAGTGTTTTGACAAACATGACTGAAGCTGTCAGGGACAAAGAAGGGAAATTAAGCTTTTGTAAGAAATTTGTAAGCTTAAAATCAGAAATAAAGATAATAATGAAATAATGTAAGTGGTCTCATTCTTGAGTGAGGTGATGAGAAACACTGAAGTTATTCTTGGATGTGTTCCCTCATAAGTGTTTGTTTAGGCCTTGGTAATGTCTCCCAGTCCCAAGTATATATAAATAACCCTGAGTATTTAGGACACTAAATACTTTCACTTGCACTTTCAAACAGCCCGGATGGCTGTGGGACTGGGTAGCAGGCATTGTGCTTCTTGCTGCCTTGCATTAAGAATTAGAGGATGAGTTACCTTCCATCTGCAACAGAAACTGGAGGAACTTGGAGCAATCCTGCTTTCTAAGAACTGCTTGCTCTGAGAAGAATGGACTGTGGGTGTGTTGCCTGGGGGAAAAAGTGTGATCATGTAACAAATCTTGTGCCAATGGATGTGGAGCTTAGACATCAATACTTTTAGTGCCTTTTGCATTAAGTGCCCCTAAATCAGGTATTGATGTTCTCATAAAAGTCCCTTGAAGATGAATTCAGCCATCGTAGGCTTTCAAGTAATTCTGTGGTATCATGGGAAAAACTCCCAACTGAGGAAAAGCTGCAAATTACAGAATTTTTGTCTAATGAAAAACTGCATCCCTGTGAGTGCATAAATGACTTTTTAGGAGCAGTTGCTGGGGGTGGCAGTTTGGAGGCAGGGTGAGTTCTGACACCTCTCCATGGTGAGGGCTCTCCCTCCTTCAGCAGGGTGAGTGCTCTGGGCAGGTGTCAGTCCTGCGAGTTGCTGTGATGCAGGTCAGGCTGGTGTTGGAGAACAGTGTGTAGGACTACCAGGCTGCTTCCCCAGCAGCAGCCCCAGTCACAGCAGCTGTAGAGGATCCCTCTGCTGTTACCTTGATGACCCCGAGCGTGTCCTGTCCAGCTGGTGTGGGTGGGGTGTGGGTTTGGTAGATGAAAGCATGAATGTGTCTAATGGGTTTGGTCTCTGAGCACCTTCAGGGCTGGACTTCATGGGAGTAGAGGCTGCAGTGTGTGACTCTAAAGAAGCAGAAAGCTTGGATCAGTCTGTCAGTCTTTAGTAAGAGTAGTGTTAATGACACTGATAAGGCAGTTGTCTGGTGTTTTCCTTGGGCATGGTTTTATTTAGTAGTAGAGCTTATCTTAAAGAGACCAGTGTCCTGGGGAGTGTTCTGTTTCTGATTTCTAGCTTGAAGCTATTAGCATTGGTTGTGTAAAGAGTTTCTTTGTGATTGCTGTGAATGTAAAGTGCTTTAGAAATCCTTCTGAGTGCTTTGAGTATTGTGTATAAACCTAGTTAAAGAAGACAGATAATAAAGGTGGGAACGTTGTTGATGAAGGCTGTGGATGGGATTTCAGTCTTTAACTGGTAAAGACTAACAACTCTGTCTTTTCTAGGTGGAGCATTTGGTGGATTGCTTGGTGCCTGGATGACTTCTGGACAGTTCAAGCCAGTCCCTCAGATTTTATTGGAATTGCCTCCTACTGAGCAGCAGAAACTCTATGATGAAGCTGTTGATGTTATCAGGCACTTAGACTGGACTGATGTCGTTCAGCTGACTGCTCTGGTCATGGGCAATGCTAGTCTGCAGCAGAAGCTCACAGCAGTGCTGGTCAACTACCTCTCCAAAGAGCTGAGGGCACAGATAGAGTACGGAGAATGAACCTCTGCAGAGCACGCCTTTCACACTGTAATGGATTTTACTGACAGTTGTGATTCTGCAACATAGCAATTATTAGTTACCTAATTATAAATATAGGCAGATCTGAGTATTGTTTGGGTGTTGGGTTTTGGTGTTTGGGATTTTTTTTTATTATTTTTGTTTTGTGTGGATTTTTAAGGATAGTGTTAGATTAAAGCATTAACCTGACACTGACTTGCTATGTAATTTTAAATTACTGTGCCCTAGGACTAATTCAAATAGCTGAAGGGAATTATGTTTCCCTTATGTTGATCTATCACTAGTCAAAATTTTTAAAGTCATTGTGTTTTATTTAGGAGATTTATTTCTGTTTGTGTAAGTGCTTTAATTTTTTTCTGTAAATGACAATAAGGTGCCAAAGTAGCTAGGGCACTTTGAAAGATTTTACGTACTGTCTGTTTCAGTCCTGCCAAGGGAAATTATAAGACATGATGTTCTTCTACTGTGAACTTAAAGTACTCAATCCTTACTTTGTTGTTTGTCACATTTTTATTGTAATTCTTGAGTTATTTATTTCATTATGTAAGAAGTGAAGCAAATGCCTAAACAACATTTCAAGCAACAAGAAAACAAACTATGAACAATTTCAGTTCAATTTTCAGTTTCATTTTCACCAAGTTTCTGGTGCCCTATAATGGGAAGGCATGGCAAGAATATTCTTTTTAAAAACTGGGGAGCTGAATCTGCTGCCTTTATATTGGCCCCAGCGTCAGGGTTGTTATTTCAGCATTGGTTTCTTGACTGAATCTGAACAGCTGGTCCTCTGTTTTCATTAAAGTATTCATAAGAAGCATCATAGTGATCTGTGTTTTGTGTTAAATGAAATGAACTCTTTAAGAAGGAAGCCAGGCCTGTGCTGGGCAGCCAGCAGTTGGCAGCAGTGGTGGTGGTGGGGTGGAGGGATGTGCCAGCTGCAGTTATTACTGTAAGCATCATAGCCATGTTGCTGAATGTCCCAGCCAGTTGTTCACATTTGGTTTCAAGGCACTTGTAAAAGAAGTTTGGAAGTAGAAAAATGTTCAGGTGTGCCTTTTTTCTATGTAAAAGCAAGTGAAACTGCGCTGATAGCTCATTTTTTGCCTAAAATAAAGGTCTAGCTCTCTGTGTGTGGTGAGGTTTCTAGAAGTTGAGGTTTAAATGATAAAACTTTAAACTCAGAAGTTGCTGTTTTATACATTTGGTTAATTGACTTCTGCAGGTACCATTTGCCATTGATAAATTCAGTGGAGCGCAGGGCAGGGATTGTTCTCAGCATTTGATAACAGTTTTTCAGTGATATGAAAGGGAAAGTGAATGATAAGTGGGCACTCCTAACCTTGTCACAGTTTCATAATGTCAAGTCTGAAATCAATGGGTTTTCAGTTTCACTGACAGATTACACACACTGCAGCTTTTTAAAGATTTTACAAACTTTGTATATGTGTTTTAGAATACTATTTTTATGACTGGAATTACTTCTATTTGCAGTTTTCTGGTTATGTCACAAATTAAATTAGTATTTCCCAAATAACACACTGCAAACAGTGGCAGATGATTGAATGATCCAGTGGGATGGAACTTGCCACCTCATGCTCGGCTGTTCAAACCCAGAATGAAAGGAGCTGACATCTGAGTGCAGACCAGGCAGTAGGAAAGATGGGGGTTCCAGTTCATCTATGATAGTATTTAGTATTTAAAGAGCTCGTTACAAGTTTCAGAGTAGTTCAGACATCAATACCATGACCTTCATTTTACAGGTATTCATAAATGTTGGCCCAAACATTAGTAGTGAATTGATTTTTATCACTTGTATCAGTGTGGATGGAACCAGTGATCATGTGAGCCTCAGTCTCTACTCTTCTGTGTTATTCTATTTCTTGGAGTACTCCTTGAAATGCTTTTTATTACCCCCATAGAAATTAGAAACTGGCAAGAACTACAGTCTTTTAGCCTTTGCTGTGGTGTAAAGGGGGCATGTGTCATATGGATGCCAAGAGAAATCATGTCCATGTAGTTGCTAATGTAGTTTATGTCAAACCCCACTGCTGCTGAACTCCCAAGAAGCTTCAGACTCCATGCCACAGAGTAGCATGGTCTCAGTCATTATATTAAATTTAACTTTAGAGTTTTTCAAATGACTGAAGTAGAATCAGGAAAAAATGAACTGGATTCTGTTTGTTTTCTGAATCATTATTTAGCAGGTTTGATGCTCTTGAAACTTCTCAGAAGGTGGCAGGTTTTCAGAGTGGTAGCAATAGGTTTGGAGATTGATGTGAGACACATTTTACTGCTGGCAATAGAAGAGGAGAAATGAGCTCAAATGTTCATCTCTAATGAGTTTGGACATATGAGAATTAGGAAATAACCACTGTTGATTGCAGAGACCCTGATACTTAACTACTGATGGAGAACGGACATGGCATCCCACAATGGTTTTGTTGTTTGTGTCTTAGTAGTTCATGACAATTCATGTTGCTAAATGCTGCTGAAAGATCAAATTGTACCTTTACTGCTCTGTCTACAGCCCTGTGCTGCCATATCAAGGTCACCATGATATTTGGTGTGTAGCCTTATGTGGGGATTTGGGCAAGTTAAAAGAACTCTTCAGCAGATTTGATCGTCTGAGGAAGAGACCAGCTGCCCAAGAATGTCTCTAATATCCATCTGTTGCTGTTCTTTGGTAAAGATGTGGCTGTCCACCCCTGCATCCCTTGTTGGTGCTGGAAACAGCCACAGGCAGGGGATGGCATCTTCTGAAATCCATTCCAGCTGTATAACATTCAGGCTGAGTGTAAGGCACAGCTATTGCCAAGGAAACAAGGTAACACGGTGCCAGCAGTTTTGGGAAGCAGCTGAAAGAGTCACTATGGGGAAATGTACATATTTATATAAAGAAGCCATCTGTGATGCTGGTTATTAACCTGGTTTGGTTGTAGATGTGACAGAATCAAGCTAGGCAGATGGTGTATTTTTAGTTTACAGTTCCTTTTTTTTTTCTTTCTATGTGGGTTTTTTTTAAGCTTTCTGATTTCAAAATAGAAAGCAACACAAAGTGTTATGTTAGCAAAGAGAGGGAGTATATATATTTTTAAAAGGCAATCCTGAATTCAAATATAGATTAGTAATTGAGATGTGCCATCTAGTGGCAGATTATTTCTTAAACTCATCCTTTCAAGGCTGCCTCAGTATATGGATAACACAGTTACCTTTTCCATGAAAAGTAAGATTAAGTTCTTTTTTTGCTCTTACTCTGTCAATTTCCTGGCTTTAGTGAATTTGTATTTGACTGCAAATATCAGCCCAGCTACAGACTAGACTGTAATTTATATGCATTCCCTGCTGAAGTTGTTTTTTTGGTCATAATCATATGTGAGCTGTGACAGCACAAATATTTACTGCAGCTGCATGTCACGTTTAATTATAGTGAGAAAATACACAATCAGGCAGAAGAGGGCGGTTTACTTCGTGATTACTGGAGGACAAGTGGATTTTGAGAGCTGAGCAGCAGCCAGTTTGCAAGGATGGATTGACCGCAGTAGAACTGGCGAGGCAGGAGGAGTTTGTTTATTGGAGGGCTGCATTTCCTTGTTCAGTTCCATCACCTTCGAGTCTGCACCTGCAGCAGCTCTGCCTGGGCCCACACAACCTTTGGAGCAGCCTGTGTGTAACTGCTGATTGCCAAGGTCCTGCAGGACTGAGGAAATCCTGTCTTTTGCTGGTCACTGTCAAAGCACAGACTTCCTAAAGGTCCCATTCCCAATGCATGGCTGGGGGTCCCCAGCTTGATCCTCTGGAGCAGCGTGAGAACTGCAACAGAGGCCTTGAGCAATATAAAAAAGACATTAAACTGTTAGAGAGCATCCAAAGGAGGCCATGAGGATGGGGAAGGGCCTGGAAAGGAAGCCGTATGAGGAGTGGCTGAGGGCTCTTGGTCTGTTCAGCCTGGAGAAAAGGAGACTGAGGGGAGACCTTATTGTGGTCTTCAATGTCCTCACAAGGGGAAGCAGAGGGGCAGGCACTGATCTTTTTACTTGTGACCAGTGAGAGGACTCGAGGAGATGGGTGGAGCTGAGTCAGGGTAGGTTTAGTTTGGATATCAGGAAGAAGATTTTCACCCAGAGGGTGATTGGACAGTGAACAGGCTCCCCAGGGCAGTGGTCACAGCACCAAGCTTGACAGAGCTCCAGAAGCATTTGGACAATGCTTTCAGGCTCATGGTGTGGTTCTTGGGGTGTCCTGTGCAGGGCCAGGAGTTGGACTCAATGATCCTGATGTGTCCCTTCCAACTCAGCATGCTCTATGACTCCATAGAGTGCTGGTGTGGCACACATCTCTGCTTAGTTAGATACTCCAGTTCTCAATAGCTGGAGGTTTCAGAGGGTTGTGGTGAGATCCTGTATTTACCCCCTGCCTCTGGAGTGCACAAGAACTCTGGAAGCAGTCCTGAGATCCCATGAACTGGCTGATGCTGAGTGTGCAGCAGGCAGTGAGAAGCTCTCCAGCAGCAGTGATCTGCCCAAAAGATGAGCAGACAGAGTTGCTGTGAATCTCAGAGCTGAGTTCTGCAGTGTGAAATATGCCCTCACAAAGGAAGGTCTGGTGGCTGAGCCTGTATTTGTCACGTCATCTCTACTTTGTACTCCAGTATGAAAAGTAACAGGGATTAGTATTCCATAGGCAGTTTTTCCAAAGGCTCTGTCCTCCCAGGGCTGCACACCCACACCTACGGAGGGGCTTTGCTGGAGGAGAACGCCCCCAAAAGAGACAGTCTCCATCTCTCTCAGGGCTCCCGAGGGCTGCTGGCAGGAGGGGGTGCTGTGCAACCATCTCTGCCGGGCACACAAGTCTGTCCTCGCTTGCCAGGGGCAGCCAGAGGCTGGGGCTCCTCTGCAGGCTGCTGTCCCCTGCCTGTCCTGCTGCTCCGACGTGCAGGCAGGGTTGGAGAGGTGCTCTGCTGCCTGACTGTGGGCAGTTTGTTTAAGGAAACCAAACCATCTCCTGCAGCAGTAGTTTGCTGGATGCCTTTGGACAGTCACCCAGCTTCCCCATCGGCTGCCTTTGTGTGAGCTCATGCAGACAGTGCCCAGCTGGTGGTGGGAGGCTGTGTGAGGTGGTGTCTGCTGACTGAGTGGTAACATTGGGGTGTGACAGTCCCAGCATTTTGTTATTATCTGATTTTTTCTCACCATGTTGTTTGATTCCAGCAATGTGGTGTGTTGCACTGTCCACTGTAGCCTGATCACAGCCCACTGTGCCCTGGCAGGGCTGCTTTCCCCTCTCACAGGTCACAATTTATAGCTCCTGCCATATGTGGTTCAGTGTGAGGGGCACAGATGGGGTGGAACAGCTGTTGTCACCTGTTCCCAGTGACACTCCTGTCTTCAGGGAGGAAACCTTGTGTTGCAGAGCACTCAGGTGGGCCAGGATAGCTGCTCTTCTGAAGCAAAATTCTGTTTAGCACACACAGCGTAAAGCTACTGAGACCCAGTGTGTCCACATTTCTTTAGGATGACACCTCTTTGATGATTGCAACTCAGGCCTTTCCTCATGTTGATCACTTTATAGGAAATTAGCGTTACAAAACTCACTGCAAGATCTTCTGGAAGGGGTAGGGGATTGTAATATTCATAATTATTTAACAAATTGATTTTGCACAGCCATACTCTCATGGCATACCTGCTCAAATGTTCTGGCCAGGATTGCCTGTGGAGGACAAGTCAAATCCTCATTCATCTCCGGGGTTCTGCTTGATTGGCAATGATCAGCTGACTTCATGGCCAAATCTTTTACATCCTACTGCTATTGCCTTCCTGT